TTAGCCTGTTTATACAAGACATTATTCCCCTTCCTGTGAGCATCTTCTTTGGCCTGACGGAGCTGTTTGAGTTTTGCAGTGAACCATGGTTTGTCATTGTTGTAGGTTAAATGAGTCCTGGTTGGAATGCACATGTCTTCACATAAACTGATATATGATGTTACAGTGTCTGTGAGCTTGTCCAGATCGGTGGCAGCGGCTTCAAAAACACTCCAATCAGTTAGGTCGAAGCAGGCTTGTAAATCCTTCTCTGCTTCATTAGTCCATCTTTTTACAGTCATGCTGTCTGTATTTTGGCAGTTCACGGGAAAGATTTGCTTTATTAAAGTCTCAGAGAATGATTAAAACAGAGTCCGGGTGTTGTTGCTCTGTGTCTGTGATCAGATCTGCTAGTTTCTGTAAAGCCAGGCTCACGTGCGCTTGCGGTGGAATGTAAACACTCACGAGAATGAACGAGCAAAATTCCAGCGGCGAGTAGAAAGGCTTACAGTTAATGAAGAGCATTTCTAGATCGGGACAGCACATCTTAAGAGCACTTCTAGATCGGGACAGCACATCTTTTCCAACACCGTTACATCTGTACAACACCTCTCATTGATGTAAAAGCATGTCCCGCCACCACACGATTTCCCCGTTGATTCTGCGTCACGGTCCACTCTGAACAGCTGAAAGCCCGGCAGATGAAGCGCGCTGTCCGGAATGGCGTCATTCAGCCAGGTTTCCGTGAAACACAGAGCAGCAGAGTTAAAAAAATCCTTGTTTGTACGGGAGAGCAGAAGTTCGTCCATTTTGTTGGGTAAAGAGCGGAGATTCGCCAGATGGAAGCTAGGCAACGGCATTCGAAAACCGCGCAGTCTGAGCTTGACTAGCGCACCAGCTCGCTTCCCCCGTCTGCGCGTCCTGAAGCGCTTGATCAGCGCCGCAGCTCCGCCAACTACAATGTTCAGCAAAACATCCGAATAATCGAAATCCGGTAGGAGATTTTGTGGTGTGTTCTGCCGAATGTTCAGCAGTTCATCCCTGGTAAAACTGATCGTGTTTGAGAAACAAAAAACAGGAAAAACTAGCAAAAACAGTACAAACACTGGAGAGCCAAGCACTGAGGTGGCCGTCCGCGGCGCCATCTTGACCATCAATGTATATCATTTATAAATGATATACATATTTGAATTATTATACAATTTTATTATGATTAGAACTACTACTAACACCACTACCACCAATAATAATACTGTAGTATATTACTACAACAACAACAACAATAATATATTATAGTATTACAATATATACTACATTGTTACTATTGATGTACAGTACACTAATATTTATTATAAATATATTAATTATACAGTATTATTATGATTAGTACTACTAACTGCAACAAAAACAAGAAGAATGTATTATATTACAACAACAACAATAATAACAACAGCAGTAATAATGTATTATACTACAGTATAGAGTACATTGTTACACTATTGATATACAACTTTTATCCATATTATTTAAAAAAACCGTCAGACGGCTTAAAGCACTGGGCCATTGATGTGTGAGGCAAATTTGACTTGTCAGCCACAATAGCCTTAAAAATTCATTGACCCTAATCTGAACCTTGTTTGATCTGAGCACAGCTATGCGCAGAACTACCACGAGGGGGCGCTAAACACCACTTAATTGTAAACACGTTAATGCAAGTGCGTTCTTCGGTTTATGCTTATAAAACATGTAGACCGACTCAACACAACTGGGATACCTGTGTATATGATACATATATTTTCCATTTCCGTCATGTCCTCTCGTGTTATACTCAGTGCATATATTTAACAAAGACTTGCCGTCTTTACCTCAGAACACTTACGCGCGCGTTTTACGTGTTTTACCAGTTGCATGATCCTGATGTCATAATTTGACGATTATTTCCCACGGACACGGCGAACAACACACCAGAGAAACGTGACGGGGCTGGATTTCCACCGTGGGGCTGAACCAATAGCAGCTCGCAAACCCGAGTCACTCATTCCGGTAATCCGTAACGTTACACGTGTCATATTGTGTGCTGCCCAATGGAAGATACGAGAGCGTCTACAGTGGCTGCTCCTCATCTCAAACTTCACAGAGTCCTGGACGGCTGAAATCGGGGATTGTTTACGCTTTTGGACTAACGTTACCATCGACTTCACTCAGCCTTTAGGATGGAATAAATTGCAACTATGGTGGTGAATTCCGTGCATTGGTTTCGCAAAGGGCTGCGGCTTCATGATAATCCGGCTTTGCAGGAAGCTCTCAATGGCGCGGATACTGTACGGTGTGTTTATATTTTGGACCCGTGGTTTGCAGGCTCGGCCAACGTGGGAGTTAACAGATGGAGGTTCGTGCCTTTTGTTTTAGTTATAAACAGGCGTCCGTTGGGAAGTTTGGTGTAATTGTGAAGGGTAAAGATATGGTGGCGCGTAACTACGCAGCTCTTTTGCACACCCACTGTTGTTTTAGCCCTGACATGCACCGACTCGGTGTGCATGGTAACGTTAGCTGATGCTCTGCAATGTCATTTAAGGCAATACTTGTGCAGATATCTTAAGCACAAAAATGACATTCTGACTTTTTATTACCCATATACGTTATAAAAAGCGTAAAATATTGACTCGTAAGGGGCCCGACTGCTTACAGCAGGTGAACGAACTTTACAAGTCATCTGGACACTTCAGTTCAACATCTATAAGTCCAATGGAGTAACGTTATGTTATTTCTATTTTTAAAATACGTGCTGAATTAATCGTTAATTGCATGAAATGTGTATAACGTTAATTGTGGTGGTGCAGTTACAGCGTTCAGACCATTAAACTACGTTATGTGGAAACTGGCTAGTCGTTTTGTTCACGCCCACTTTGGTTTTATATAACAGCTAAAATTACCAATTTCATTATTGCGTCATTGAATGTGTCTGTCGGTGAAGTCAAACACATGCAGTTTGGAGACAGAATTTATAAAAACGTGGGCTACGCGTAAAAAAAAAAGATTCTAAATTCAATCGCGCGAGTCACGTGATGGAACGGTCCCGTTTTCACGTATACTGTCTACCACGCATGCTGTGAGATGAATTGTGTGAATGAATGAATGAATAACCTAGTGCTACAAATATTTTAATGGAACGCATATTAGAGCATTGTCGTGTAACCTGTCAAAACGCCGTCAGACTTTTGAATCTTTTTATTGACGATAGTTTGAGTTTGTAAACATCAATTTCTGCTTATGTAATAATGAAAACAAACTTGTATAAGTTTATTGCTTTAAACCTGGTGCATGCTGAATCAGACAATAAGAGTTTTATAAAATATTTTTTAGTTAAAAGATTGTTATTAGGGGTTTTGATTCATCCCAGTGACTCGAATCTTCTGAATCAATTCAACAGGATTTGTTCAATGACTTTCGGTTAAGCCAGTAGGTGGCGACGAGCAGTGTTTTATAAACAAATCATTTGAATCATTGACTTAACCATTTCGTTAAAAAACACCAAATTGTTTGTGTCCGAAACCTTTCTTACAGAACTTTATTAAAATGTATGTACAAATCTATCGCAAAGTGTCTTTAAGCATCGTTCTCGTTTTCCTTACAAATGACAATGAAGCAGATCTGTTGTGTTTAATTCATTTTTTTGTTTGTTTTTTTTTGGGGCATGATTTTTAGCCTGATATATAAAAATATTAACCTTAATTAGTCCGTGTGTTTCAGTTTGGCACTTGTGGAGTATTTTTACACATTTGTAAATCATTTGCTCCATTTTCTCTCTCAGAACATTCAGCAGATCATCGTTCAGAAAAATGCTTCAAAAGGAAGATAACGAGCAAGGACAATACATTAGTTAAAACACAGATTTTATTCACTGCTACCTATTTTAAAAAGTATATTAGGAGTAGCGAGCTGGAGTTGTAAGAGGTAGAATGAGGAAGAATGTAAGAGGTTAAATAGTATTTTGGTGGCAAGATAGAATTTTCCAATGAAACCTGAGTCAATAACAACCAATAGAGATTTGGGTGATCAGTGCAAGGTGCTATTAATATTGCAATTTGCTGAAAATCATTTACATTTTTACTTAAAATATGTAAATTGATTTTATCTTACATGTTACAACATGTCATGTACACTTCCTTAGTGAGAAATAACTCCTGGTACCTCTTGCTAGTTGGTAAAAACTTCTAAAATTTAGCACTACTTACAAGGTCATGGAATATTCATATTAAAGGGGTCCTATTATGCTTTTTCACTTTTTCAACTTTAGTTAGTCTGTAATGTTGCTGTTTGAGCATAAAAAAGGTCTGCAAAGTTACAAAGTTCAAAGTCCACTTCAAAAGGAGATATTTTATTTAACAGAAATCACTTTTCAAAAACTACAACGAACGACTCGTTTGGACTACAACGCATATTTTCCGGGATTTGTGATATCACAAATATCGACGAATGGGACGAGACCTGGTTGAGCTGCACTAGAGAAGGCAACGAGTGTTATCATTATGTCAGAGACTCGCTAGCTTTCCCAAAGCAGACGAACGTAGAGTGGTTACAATCATCCGGGTTTAAATCGCGCTCAAATTGATTTGATTTTGACGCAGTATTTACACTTAGGCTCGTTCATGCCAGACTGGGGAGAGAGGTGTTGTAATAATGTAAAATATGTGATCAACAAAGTATGAGAGCCTGTTCTAGTACACCCCCAAAACAAAATCAAGACTTTGTAAAAGAGCATAATAGGACCCCTTTAACTTTTGTAAATATTATAATGTTAGACATTTTCTCTTTGGCAGGTTTTTACTGGAATCTTTAGAAGATTTGGATACAAGTTTGAGGAAACTGAATTCAAGGCTTTTTGTGGTGCGAGGACAGCCAACGGATGTCTTCCCGAGACTCTTCAAGGTCTGTATTTCTCTCAGGATATTTGTCTTGTCTTTTAGTCTCACTTTGGCTTTTAAAATCTAAACAGTTATGTCTGACAACTTGAAGCATGGAAAGTTTCCATTAGGTCTGAGTATATACTGTTGCACAAAGCAATGCTGAGTTTTTCGGTATGTTCATGTGTTTGGTTAGTGGATTTGACTGAGCATATTTTAACATAAGCTCACTTTTAATGTATCTACAGTGATGTTAGTGGTCAGTTATCATTAGTTGGTTGATCTGCAAGTGATGATTTGTTTCAGAAGATTTTTCTCAAACTATGAAGAAACTACTTGCACTCAGCTGTAAAAAAAATAAATAAATAATAATAATTGATTGGAAACTGCTCCTTGTGTGTGCAATCTCTAAAATAATTATTTTTCAAATCCTAGACCTCATTTTCCTTACTTTGTCATTCACAACTGGAAAAGTCATGGAAATTCATTGCTCGAAATGTGTGGGAACCCTGAGTAATATAAATGCTTACTAGCTATGCTTGCTAAGGCAATCATCTCTTTACCATTGTGCATCCTTGGATTTAGGGGACTATTCAAATCCCTAACCTAAAGTAATAAAGTTCAATGCATCCCACAACTCTTAAATTTCTCATTTAGATTCTCCAGTAATTCCGTATTCAGCTAAACATCTGAGTCCTGACTCCTGATCAATTTATACCAGCATTTTAGAGTAGTTTGTTATGAAAGATCTCATTTTCATGCAGTCGGAGCAGTCTTCTCTCTCTCAAGCACGGCGATGCATCAGTCAAGTGGTTTGTACGACCCCTTTGGCAGGTTAATAGTGCTGTTTATGCAAGGGGTGAGGGCACCAGCACACCAGCCCTTCAAAGTGCACTTGTATAACCAAGAAGTCACAGAAGCTGCCTAGAGTACACTTCTAGTGAACAGCTGAGTTGCACAGCGTCCGTTTTTGTGATGATTACCTGAGCAATGTGTGAAAGGGTTTTGAAATGATTAGTAATGGTTTTCCTTTTCAGGCCTTTTTTGGTAATATAACACTAAATTACTATATCACTTGCTGTCAAAAGCAGCAGTTTGTCAATGATGTTAACTCCCAAGAATTTGCCTTCTCTTTTATGTAACAATTTTTGTATGTACTGCTTTTTACATGGTTAGAAATAAGGGGTAAAGATACTACACCTTGATGTTGTTCTAGTTAGCTTTAATATTTGTATCATTCTTTAACATACAGGTGCATCTCAATAAATTAGAATGTCGTGGAATCAAGACTCAAAAGTACGTGCAAATGATAAGTACCGTCATCTGTCATCGCGTTATAAGCGCGGAACCTGCGGGAATGAGTAGAATTATTAATAATAGCGTCTGAAATTCAAGACATACTCTGTGTTCTCTGCTGTGAATAACCCGACTGTGAATTATGCGAGCGGCTTTATGTTGTCAGTGAGAAGCTGCAGCCGTGGCGGGGAGGATTTTTAAAATGTTTTTTTTATTGGTCTTATGAAGTATTCTTATTTGCTGAGATAGTGAATTGGTGGGTTTTTGTTAAATGTGAGCCAAAATCATCACAATTAAAAGAACCAAAGACTTAAACTACTTCAGTCTGTGTGCATTGAATTTATTTAATACACGAGTTTCACAATTTTAGTTGAATTACTGAAATGAACTTTTCCACGTCATTCTAATTTATTGAGATGCACCTGTATATCTTATCTCTCGTCTCTTTCAGGAGTGGAATATCACACGTCTCACATTTGAATATGACTCTGAGCCTTATGGCAAAGAAAGAGATGCAGCCATCATTAAAATGGTGCAGGAATACAGTGTGGAAACCGCGGTACGAAACACTCACACGCTCTACAGTCCAGACAGGTGGGTGATGAACTGAACTCACACACATTGCTCATGGAAAATTGACACACACACACTCACAGATGCAATAAAAGTTTTTGTTAAGGTTTTGTAAAGAAATTAATTTATAGGGGCAGTTTATTTGTCTATAAAACTGTCTGTATTAAGTTCACTCAAGCATGTCAATATTTGACAGGTAGTGTATTAACAATATTTTTCATGAGCTTGTTTTACTAGTGATGACCATTCAGAAGTATTTTAAGAGGTTTTTTATAATCGTTCGCTACGGTTTAAAAATTTGGGTCAGTACTATTTCAAATATTTTTGAAAGAAGTCTCTTATGCTCTCCAATGCTGCATTTGTTTGATCAAAAGTACAGTAAAATGTAAATATTGTAATATATTATTATAAATTAAAATAACTGTTTTCTTTAATGTATTTTAAAATATATTCCTGTGATGGCAAATCTGAATTTTCAGCATCATTATTCCAGTCTTCAGTGTCACATGATCCTTCCGAAATCATTTTGATATGCTGATTTGATACTCAAGAAACAACATTTATTATTATTATCGATGTTGAAAATAGTTGTGCTGATTAATATTCTTGTGGAAACCGTAATATGTTTTGTTCAGGATTATTAGATGAATAGAAAGTATGATAAATGATAGTTCACTATCACTGTCGCCTCTGGCTTGCTTAGTTGGGGACACTTCATTTCCAGCGATACCGTTGACTTGATTGCAAAGATACTATTTAAACTGAGCTGGATGTTGACATCACTGAATTCAATGATGAACTGTCTTTAACTGAAAAATTTTATGTTTACTATGGTCATTTTGCATTATTGACAAACTATTTTCCTAATTAATGCTGTTCAGTTGCTTTGACACAATCTGTATTGTTAAAAGCGCTATATAAATAAAGGTGACTTGACTTGACTTAATCATTTGCTTGAATAAATATTAATTTCTTTAAAAAAAGATCTTGCTGACCTCAAGATTTTGAACAGTAGTTTACATGAATCAGGAATCAGCAGAGACATGGTGAGATTACATTGATATCAATGTCACAAAACATATACAGACATTTTACAGTGATTTATTTGGTGTATAGTTTTTCAAAAATGAAACGTATGTTTATTGTTATCGCCCTCTTTAATCTGTTTTGAAATGTGGTGCATAATTACATTCTTAAAGCATTCGGAGTTCAGACAAATCAAAACAAATTGTGAAATTATTATTTCCCTCACAGACCTGATAAGCTTAAGAGTATGGTATTGTAAAATATTGCAATATTTTGAAATGCCAATTTATTATTTTACCGCATCACCCCTACATCACATTTTCAGAAATGTGCCCCTCACAAGTGTAGCTAAATAAGTGCTCTCATCGAACAGCATTGAGAGACACTTTATCATATGACACTCCAAACTCACTCAGGTCTCAATTGCCATCATAGAGAATCAGTTTTTTATTCTTTTGAGATAACTGTGGCAATGGGTTTGACACGGCACCTACGTTTCTCATTTTCTCCAACATTTGCATGCCATTTTAGACCGTTAATGACCAGGCGTTATATAAGCATTATTGGAGAAACTAATCTAAAACTCATTACCACTTCCTGATAGGGCAGTTGTTATTTGATATTATATAATTTCAGAAATTCATCTTTTGTTCATTACTCATGCACCTTTCACCCATCAGGCTAGGTAGGCAACACGTTATGTGTGCTGTTGGCTCTTTTTTCTGCATTGATATTATTACTGAAATATGCATGAATCTTTTGGTTTGCTCATTTCACTTTTTTTACTATCAGTGGAAAACATCTCAATCATGGTTATGTGTTAGTTGGTTTGATTGACATCCATACTTGTGAGGTTATAAGTAAAGTATAAGTAATTTATTAGTATAAAAAAAAAGTTTTTTTTTTTTTTTTTTTATCGAATTCATAGCTTTCATGGAGTTACATTGTAGTATTATTTCCAGCTATTATTTAGCTAGAAATGTATAGTTGGTAACTTGTGTGCGTGTACATGTAAATATAGTATTATTTATTCTTACGTTTTTCTTTTTACTGTTTTCTTTTACATTATTCTTATTTTAATAGTACAAACATTACATTTACAGTTAATGTAATTATAATTTTAATGTACATTATAATTTTCAGCTATTATTTTATAGAATTTAAGTAATTATAATTATATATTTTATAAAACTTGTCATATCTGAACATTTTCAAGCTGTAAATGTAATACAAATTGTTAATATAATAATAAATTTTTTTTTTTTTTTTTTCCAGCGTTTACAAGTTGTATTTATTTATAGTAAATATATTTATGGATGTATGTGGGTTTTTTTTGGCAAATTGTTTAGGAAAACTTTAAACGCTAATGAAATATAAAAACTGATACAATTTACTAACATAAAGTTCAAATTAAAAAAAAAATGTATTAGGGACAGTGAATAATGAAAATGTTGTCAGTAGGACAGATACAAATCTGAACTACTGGGCCAGAGAGAAAAACCTCCTTGTTAGTGCAGTCATAGGGCAACATTCCCTAATCTGACTAAATTCCTCTGTAAACTTTGCCAGCACTTTTAGCATAATGTGACATAACAATGAACTATGCATTGCCATGATCCTGGCTTGCACTTTTGTTTATGTGCAACTCACATTCTCTCTCTCATGTCTTTCCTGAGAGTATTACCAAACAAGAGAGAATGACTCTCCCCTTCTCAGATCATTGTGCAGATACCACTACTCCTGACGTGTAATTTAAAACAAGTGGCCTTTTGCGTAGGTTACATAAATGGGATGGATGTTGGTTATACGCCCAGACTCTATGTCTCATTCAGAGGGGAAGAGAATGAGCTTGCAAGCATAAGAGCGTGTGAATGCATGTGCAGGTGTGCATATGACGTCTGTCGCTCTCCTGGACGATATGAGACTCGCTGCTGCCATCTGATGGTGGAAAGCGGCTCTGGCGGTCACACTGTGAAACATGTGCTGTGGGTGGGAGGGTGAAATGGCTCAGCATGCAAGTCACCACTGCAAACATGTGCAAGCCAAGCGCCAGGCTTTTCCAAACGAGCACGCGGGTGCCCCCTGATTCCGCACCGCCAAGAAAACCAGCCAAAGGCAGGGGCTCTACCCCTGACGGATATAGGCAGGAGTTGTATAAGATCAGGACTATAAATAAGGGACAGGCTGTTAATGTGTTAAGGCTGTTGTTTCTCTCTTAGAGGAGCCACTGAGACTATTAGCTCCTCTCTTTGAGTCTCTCAGAGGGCAGACAGGCATATGTGCTTGCATTTGGAGAATGTGTGGAAATGTGTTAACTACTTTAACCCTAACTACTTTCCTTACTTTCCTAGCTGATCGAATATTACTTTACTTTAATGACCTTGTTTCCTTGAGAATAAAATAGGCCTTTTTGCCGTGCAACCTCAGGTTATTTGAAACAGATCGGTGTAATAGAATGTTCTAGAAGTGGTGTGTCCTATAATCAAACAAGGTTGTACTGATGTCAATCAGGGCAACAAGTTGTTGTTTTTTTCAGTAGTTCAGATTTGTACTGATCCCACCACATAGTGTTTTATATTTTACTTTTAATAATTAAATGAAATAATAACACTACCGTTTAAAAGTTTGTGTTTTTAGGTAGGAATGTTTTTCAAAAAGTCTTTTATGCTCAACAAGGCTGCATTTATCTGATAAAAAAAAAAAAAACAGTAAAACTGCAATGTTGTGAAATATTTGTACAAATTGAAATAACTGTTTTCTTTTTGAATATATTTTAAAATGTAATTTATTCCTGTGATGGCAAAGCTGAATTTTTGGTCTTCAGTGTCACATGATCCTTCAGAAATCATTCCAGTATGCTGATTTGGTGCTTAAGAAACATTTATTATTATTACCAATAAAGAAAACCGTTGTGCTGCTTAATATTTTAGTGGAAACCATGATACACTGGGCCTCATTTACGAAACGAACGTATGACAGAAAATTGGGCGTACGGTCGTTTCAACGCAAAACTTGGAATTTATCGATATGGATGTGAGCGGTGGCTACGATGAAATCTCACGTCTGGTCTCAGCTCGTGTACGCATGTTTTTGAGTTACCTGAACTTGTGCACAGCATAGTAAATACGGTGGAGAATTGTAGAATGACAGCATTCTGTTCATTTTTATTTTCCTGACCGTCAAACGAAGCTCATTAGTCGATCGTTAACCTGTAAGATTAGAATGTCTTTTTCGTTGTTGTTTTGGACAGGGCTTTAGCTTTATATGCGCGAATAGCAGCGTAAACAAGACCATGAGGATTCAATCGTCGCATCATGCACCTGCAGCGCTTCTGTGAAAGGAGAAAAACAAAAATTAAGTCTATAAAAGGAATAAAATAAATAGGATCACGCAAAATATATAATAGGCTATAATATAATTAACAGATTAACAAAAGGAAGAAAAAAAACACTGTGCAACAAGTAGGCTATAGGCTACGCTCGTTCTTGTGACACTCTTAATGCATATTATTTCTACTTATATCTTTATTTGATTTAATCAATCTGATCACACAGGCGCCTCGCGCACACACAAATGACATTAGTTCTACCGTTGCCTGACATTTCAGCCATTCATCATCAAACTAAAATGAGTCAACCATACATAAAAGTTACACTGTTTAATTTAAAAGGTCTGCTGTAAAATCAGCGTGCAGCGCCCAAACAAACATTTTTGCGCATGTGAAGGATTTTACACGGATATTAGAACATGAGTGAAGTATAAAGCCATGTTTAGGCTACATAATGAATATGCAAACAAATGTAGCAAATATAGAAATATTTGGATTCTTGTGGTATGAGACAGGCTCGTGAGCCCAATGCCGTTTCAGTTTTGCTTGACATTTGTATGCTGTTTATAATGAATGCCACTATA